ATACACATACACAATTCTGTACATCACTCTTGTTCTTATACATGGGCACCAGCACATCTTCTTCATTCCTTAGGCTTTTTCTCACCCTCAAATATGCAATTGAAAATGTGTGTAAAAAAATCTCACTGCCATCTCTCCAAGACATTTCTAAACCTCCACTGTTATGTCCTCAGGTCCTACTGCCTTCCTCTTCTTCAGTATTTTTTAGCACATTCTAAACTACACTCACTATATCGCCCACTTCCTGATCCACAGTTTCCATGACAACTATTGTTTCTCTTTCATTTGCTTCACTCACTAGCTCCTCTTAGTACTCCTTCCATCTTCCCATCATTGTCTCTTCAACGGTTGACTATTACCATTCCTAATAAACCTAACCTGCTGCACATCTTTTCCAGCTTCATTTCTCTGTCTTGCCAATTGGTACAAGTCTTTCTCACCATATTCCGTGTTTACAGCCTCCCATACAACTCATCATATGTATTCTGCTTTGCCTTTGCCACCTCCCTCTTTGCTCTACATTCCATCTCCTTATATTCCCGTTTCCTCTCTTCAGTCCTCTCACTGTCAAATTTCGTATTGGCTAACCTTTTTCTTTGAACAGCTTCCTGCACTTCAAAATTCCACCACCAGGTTCTCTGTCCAGATGACACACCAAACACCTTCTTACCTGTCTCTCTAATTACTGTTGCTGTAGTTTGTCAGTCATTTGGAAGCTATTTCATATTACCCAGAGCCTTTACAGCTCCTCTTTCAATTTCTCACAACACTATTCCTTTTTTCAGCTTCCACAATTTGGTATTTTTCTCTGATTTATTTATTTTTCTTTGCTTTTCAACAACAGTCATTCTACACACAGATATACAATGTTGTCTGGCCACACTCTCCCCTGCATCAACCTTAAAGTCCCCAATCTCCCTCACGGTTCCTCTTCTACACAGAATGTAGTCTACCTGCACTGCCTACCTTCCTTCATTCTCATCGGTCACTCGTAATCCCCATTGGGTAAATAATTATCTGCATTTTTCACAATGCACATGTGAGCACACACATGTGAAGCAGTGGACTGCCTAAAGGTGACCTGGGAGCAGCTTGAGGGAGGGGGAGTGTTTTAAGGGCCTTGCTCATTGGCTCAGAGTGGGGCAAATGAGGTTGGAGACAGGTGTGGGTGTTTCACCTTAATGCCCCCCCCCCCCCCCCCCCTGTAAATAAGTGTTTACTACAGCCATTTCCATTCTCTTGGCAAAATCCACCACCATCTGTCCTTCCTGGTTTATTTCCTTGACACCAAACCTACCCAGCACTTCCTCGTCCCCTTTGTTTCCTCCAACAACATCTTCATTTAGGTCTGCTCTGACTACCACTCTCTCCTTCCTGAGAATGCCCTCAATCGCTTCATCCCGATCCTTCCTAAATTATCTTTCTCCTGTATGACACATTCATCCTATGGAGCATAACCACTGACAATGTTTAGAAGCAGACCTTCTACTTCTACCTTCATGTACATCACCCTATCTGACACTCTTTTCACTCTACTACATTATTTGCCAACATCTCCTTCAGGATCACCCCTACTCCAGTTCTCTTTCTATTCAGCCCATGGTAAAAACAGTTTTATCCTTGATTCAATGTAGTGATGGTATGTAACTAAGTACAAGTACTTTGTTACTATATGTAAGCACATTTTTCATGTATCTGTACTTTACTTAAGTATAGTTAAATGTGGGTACTTTCTTTACTCTACTACATTTTACATTAAGTATCTGTACTTTCTACTACATTAAATTTCTATAATGCGTTGCGTTACAAGTTTTTTTTTTTTTTATTTGTTTGAAAGCAACCAATGGCGAGAGGGGAGTTGGCCCTTTGAACCACTGCTAAGTAGTCAGGTAACGTTAGACCCACCTTCAAGAAGAGCTGGGCCATTGACATATATTCTAGTATATACATCATTGAGCTGGGCGAACCCACAACAACGCTAACACACCCAAAATAGATTCCACCACAGAGAGTCAGCAAGAAGATACATGCCACCCATGGCCTTATTTAAAGACTATTGAAAGACTTTTCAGTACAGCAGGATATATTTTATCTCCCAAAAGAGCCTGAATGGACTCAAAAAACTTTGAAAACCAACTTCTTCTGAACTTGAACAAGAAATTATTGCTGTGATATTAAAATGTGTCAGTTCATGGGATGTTATGAGACAAGAGATGTCTTCAAATGGTTCAAACTTTGATCCAAGTGCGACACTTGGATCAAAGTTTTGAAAATGGTGTCAGGAAGTTAAAATATCGTTCACTATTGACCCATTACAAGGTTGACTAGACAGTATTTTAACTCTTTGATGACAAACTGGAGTAGAAAAGTCAATGGAAATGATCAGTGTCTATTATTTTGTTAGATGTGTCGAATGCCCCTTTTTTCAGGCAGACAACTTTTACTCAAATGTGTTTAACGCAGTTGAAATGACACATAGGTTTTGCTTTGTGTTAAATAAATACTTTCAAAAGTATAATCATTCCTCTTTCTTATTTTGCTTAATGGCATTTAACTGCATGTCATCCCTGAAATTCTGATGCACAGAATCACAAGCCCAAGTGTGAACGGTGTCATAGGGTAAACACAAGAAAAAAGCATGCAATATCTGCAGCATTGTTCATTAAAATGACACACTATTAATGTACTACAGAAAATATACATATGGTAGGCACACAATGATATTGTAGACCATAGCATAAGGTAATATATTCAGCAAGTACTTTTACTTTTAATACTTTAAGTATTTTTAAAAGCAAGAAATTATTTGCTTATACTAAAAATGTTAAGTGGTACATCTACTTGGCACATTTCTGTCTATTTGTACTTGTACTTAAGTACAGTGTCTGAGAACATTCTCCACCACTGCTCCAATGCTGCGAGCCTTGCTGCCCTTTCACTTGGTCTCTTAGTCACAAAAATCATATACCTTCCTTATCTGCATCATGTCATCCAACTCTCTAACTTTGCCTGTCATTGTTCCCACATTTTGAGTTGCCACCTTGAGTCATACATTCTTGACTTTCCTCTTCTCCCTCTATCTCCAGGTATGTTTACTTAAACGTGGTATTTGACTAGCAGTAGCAGAATTTATGCGGCGCCCTGTTTGTTAACAGCATTGATGGTGGTTGTTGTGTGCTTTGATGTACCTGCATATTAGTTTTGACTGAAGTGTTTTATGTTGCATGCCCTTCCTGACATAATTCTCACAATTTACCTGGGCTTGGGACTCGCACAAGAGATACACTGATCTTGTTGCTTAAAAAAAGCTGCTGAGGTATTGTCAACCTATAACAATTTGTAAGGCATTGATAAAACACACACATTATTTATATATATATATATATATATATATATATATATATATATATATATATATAATGCAAATAACACATATATTTTGATAAATAACATGGTTTTTGAACACTGAATGAATTATAAACCAATTTATATTTAAGCCCTTGCTGTGCTTCTTACTAAAATACATATGATTGTTTAATATGCTGAATTGGTTACTGAATGGGAAAGGTTTGCAGGAACTTGCATTTCACTTTATTGTACACGGTTGTTCAGTTCCTTTAAGTCATGGTGGGACAGCTGAAGGTGTAACAATGTTGTATTCTAGCCACTCCAAAAAAAAAAAAAAAGTTATTTACTACATAATGGGTGCATGTTTGAATCGGTTATACCTCACGGTGGCGCAATATACTTGTCTTGTGATATGTGAATTTCACGTTTCATGGTGTGGCCATATTTGTGTGCGTCAGTCTTGTAACAAATGACCAAACAGTGAGGATCGAAAAGCATTTCTTCATAAGATCGTGTTTATTTTTTAAACTTTCAGTTTCATTTTTGCACTCAACCTGGATGTATGTCGCTGATAATGATGGATTCTAAAATCGTCATTATTCAGACGTGTGGGCTTTTTTTTGTTCTTTGTTGGTTCCACGTCGCATATGGAGACCTGAGCTATTCTTCTCCGGAGGAGATGAAACCTGGATCAGTTATTGGAAACGTTGCCAAAGATCTGGGGCTGCAGACGCGCGCGTTGTCTAACAGAAAGGCGCGCATTGACACCGACGGAACCGACAAACGTTACTGTGATGTGAACCTGAAGAACGGAGAGCTGATTGTGGCCGACAGGATGGACCGAGAGGGGCTTTGTGGAGAAAAGGCTTCGTGCATCTTAACACAGGAGCTCGTGCTGCAGAATCCCCTGGAGCTGCACCGCATCACACTCCATATTCAGGATATTAATGATAACTCGCCGGAATTTAAGGAACAGGTGATCCGTTTTGAAATTCGGGAATCAGCAGACAGGGGAGCGCGCTTTGTGATGGAGGAGGCGCACGATGCGGACTGGGACAGAATTCCGTTCAGCAGTACAGCCTAGAAAAGAACGAACATTTTATTTTGGCTTCAGATGGAAATAAAATAGAGCTCGTACTTGATAAGGAGTTAGATTGTGAAAAACGAGATGAAATTAAATTGACACTAACAGCTCTAGACGGTGGATCTCCTCAGAGATCAGGTACTGCAGTTATTCATGTCTCTGTGCTGGATGCTAATGATAACGCCCCAGTGTTCAGTCAGGCTGTTTATGAAGCCAGACTGCCTGAAAACTCTCCTTTAGACACTGTGGTGGTTACTGTCAGTGCTACTGATGCAGATGAAGGAGTGAATGGAGATGTAAGTTATGATTTTGGGCATGTTTCTGAAGAAGTAATGCAAATATTTAGTATTGACAGTAAAAAGGGTGAAATACAAATAATTGGTAGTGTTGATTATGAAACTACAAACTCATATGAAATACGTGTAAAAGCAAAGGATGGACTAGGGCTGTCATCTTATGCTAAAGTAAAAATTTATATCACTGATGTGAATGACAACGCCCCTGTTATCAGTCTGAAGTCACTGACCAATCCCATCCCAGAAAATATCCCACCTGGTACAGAGGTGGGCATCATTAACGTGCA